CATCACGGGGGAACGACCATATGCTTCGAGCCGCTTACGTGATTGAATGCCGCCGTAGTACCTATTCGACCGGATGGAGAAATAGAATTGGGAGGTTGAGCTGTGAGCAGCAGTACTTACTGTAATAGCAGTAGCGGCCATAAGGCCATATGTACAAAATCGTTGGGACAAAGTCGATATCTAGGGCGACTAATAATATTACTGCTACGACTCGCAGTTTAACTAGTGTTACTACAGAACTAAGAACGGCAGTGTTATTACTATTTAGGCTGTAATGGAAGACTGTGGGTACCAGTTGAATAGAAAATAACTTCATTCGGACTGCGGCCGACGAAATGAACTTGCAGGCAAATTTAAATCGACGGCAAGTAGGATTAGTGAGGCCAAGCATTTTTTAAAAAAACTAAAAAAAACTACTTCTTACTTTTCAGTAGATATACTAATTTTCGTCCGGCACGGCTCGACATAGATGCAGGTGTTGGTTCGAGCGCCAATTTTAGTCACTCAGCTCGCACTTTTCGCCTCTTTCCTCTAATCATTGTCTCTGTTGCCCTGCCCAGGTTCCGCGGACACCCGCGCCCCCTTTACGTCAATCGCCTACCCCTTAACACGTGCTTGCCTAGGGTCAGCTAACACCACCCTCCCACACTCCCCCACACTCCCCCACACATACCCACACACTCCATAACTCACACGCGCTCGCCGTCGGTCCAGTGGGGGATAAGTTATAATGTAAAAAATGCACCTCAGTGGCCTCGACAAGGGTCAGCAAACGCCCTTAACTTATATCTGCTCGCCGTTGGTCCAGTGGGGGTTTAGCGATAATATAAGCGATGTACCTTAGTGACTTCGCCCAGGGTCAGCGAGCACCCCCCGACAACTTACACGCGCTCGCCGTCGGTCCAGTGGGGGACTAGTGATATTGTAAAACGATCCACCTCAGTGACCTCCCCAAGGGTCATCGAAAATCTCCCAACTTACATGCGCTCGCTGTCGGTCCACTGGGGGATTAGTGATATTGTAAAAAGATGTACCTCAGTGATCTAGCCAAGGGTCAGCAAACGCCCTTAACTTATATCTGCTCGCCGTTGGTCCAGTGGGGGGTTAGCGATAATATAAGCGATGTACCTTAGTGACTTCGCCCAGGGTCAGCGAACACCCCCCGACAACTTACACGCGCTCGCCGTCGGTCCAGTGGGGGATATAAGATATTGTAAAACGATCCAACTCAGTTACCTCGCCAACGGTCAGCAAACACCCCCCAACTTACGCGTGCTCGTCGTTGATCCAGTTGTGGGGTTAGTGATAGTATATTTGCAGCTTGCAAATATAAACCTCCTTGCTCTACCGTTCGGGATAAGTCGGGTCAAGTGATAACTGAGATGGCTGGAAAAATCGACCGATGGCTAGAGCGCTTTATTGAGCTACTGGAAACACCTATACGTTCGCCTGCGAGCCCACAGCTATCAACTGGAATTCCATAAGATAGTGGCTGCGAGCCACCTACGAGATTTGACCTGCAATCGGTATTCCAACGACTGAACTTTCGGGAGGCTGCGGGTGCAGATGGTATCCCTGCAGAAGCCTTCAAAAGTTATTGTTCTGCTTTGACGGACTCACAAACACCGGCTGTACTTGACT